ATTGCCAAGTCGAAGTACGAGAGGGACAGTAAGAAATCTAAAGATAGGATGCGGAAACATCAAGAGCTGCAAGTCAACCACAGGCTAGACTATAGCCGCTGCAAAATGAATTCCATCTTGCGGCAGTCCGAGTGTCTGTGCATCATTATTGACGGCATGGATCAAAAGAAAACTACCATGCCGCATATAGGACAGGCTAACTACTCAAAGGACTTGCACCACGAGAGGATGATGAAGACTGGTCTCACGGCTGTTCTGGTCCATGGCCGGGATCCGTCTTTATATGTTTACACATATTTTCCTTACTACACACACGGTCCCAGCAGTACGGCGACGTGTTTAATGCGGACTCTTACGGAGATCCAGTCCAGTGGGAAACCTCTACCGCCGTTTCTTCGTATTCAAGCTGACAACTGCTTCAAAGAAAACAAGGATAGATTCATCTGCGCATTGGCAGCACTTCTTGTGAAGTTCGGGATTTTCAAGGAAATAGAAATTGGTTTTATAACAGTTGGACACACGCACACAGACGTCGATGCCACGTTTAGTGTTTTCTCCAAGAAACTCAAGGACAATGATGCCTACACAATGGATGAGTTGTTCCTTTTGCTAGAGCGGTCTCATAAGACTCCTCCGCGATGTATTTTTCTTGATAGGATAGAAGACTGGAGAGGTATTATTTACCCGCATGTTTCAAAGCGCATGACAGGGATTTCGAAACCTCATTTGTTGAAATTCTACATGATAGGTGATAATCCCGCCATGTCCTATAAAGAGTATTGCACAGGCGCTAAGTGGTTGCCTGAGGATGATCCTCTTTACTGGTTCAAACAAACAGACAACGGTGGTTACGCTGGTTGCACCAACCTTTCAATCCTTTGCCGGTCCAACCGACGTTCCTCGACGATTACAATAACGGTTTGGAGAAACTTGGATGACTTTCCGAGACGAAGACGTGACTAGAATAGATAGGGTTTTTCGGTTTTGGGAAGATTACGTCAAACACGCGGGGGACATTATCGACAACGGGGCGCCTTCGGCACCCTTCACCGAATTCTAGCCAAAGGTCACCCATGTCGTTGAAGACATGAGTTCTTGCTCTGATTCGGATGCATCTGAATTACAGAGTGAACCTCTATTCGTGGGTCTTCAGAGGGACAAGCCTAAGGCCAGCTTTGATCCTTTCGAAGATGTGCATGTCGACAGTTTTGTCATTATGCAACCGTCAGACGAGGACATGCATCAAGGAGTGTCTTTTTGGGTTGGCCAGGTTCGCAGTGAAATTGACAAGAACGAAGATTCGCCAACTTACAACCAATTCAAAGTGGTGTACTGGGTTCCAATCAGAAAAGCGAGCACACTAAGAAAATTGTATGCCGACGCCGGGGAAAAAAAATGGAAAAAAGCTTCAGAGCACGAGGAAGAGTATCAACATGTCACAACCGTTGCGTTTTCTTGGATGAGACAAACGAGGACGAATGTCTGCGAGTCCTCCAAAAAGTTTACCACCGGTCTTGTGATTCCTCTGAAAGTAAGAAAAAATGCAATTCCCGCCCTAGAAAATGGCGTTGGCGCTCAAACACAAAGCGTTTCTGGAGAAGGGAGCGGGCAGGAGGCTACCTCATCGAGAGTGCGATGGTTGTCGTCTTTTTGTGAGGAAAATGTATTGCCATGCTGGCCTGTGCGCACCACGCTTGACTCCATGGAATACATCGCTTAATGATTTGTGCTCTCTAGGTTACGGGCTTCAAATCAACAAGAGTTCTTCATCAATTTTCGACATTGTGCGTGGGGGCGTTTTGGTCGTCGTAGCATGACCTCGGGCTTTCGTTCCTGACCTTGATGTGACGCTTTTATTGTGACTTTTGTATTTTGCAGTGTGACGTACTTTGAAAACAAGGATGAGATTTTGGGCTACATGGAAATAAAAGTACGTGAACGACTGGTGATCATCATGAACGGAGGAGCGTTTCCTTTTCAATATGAGAGAATCTTCAGGATCGTAGCGGGAGGACCGACAATGTTTGTCATCATGGTGAGGTTTACTGATCTCAACATTTTGGACATGCGAATATATGAGCGTCGGGGGGAAAATTGGATGCGAGGGGATTTTACAAGAGCTTATGTAAAAGCTTCAGAAGTTTTTTTCGCCTTGAGACGTGCTGTCCTCGGAGCAGGGTGTGACATTCAGGGTTTCTCGTTTTCAATTACGGATTTTGAAGGTCTGCCTCAACCTCCAATCCCGGCTTGCATGGTGGACGGTTCGACATGGGAACCGATAGTGAACGCTCTGCGAAGAGACTTCTTCTGAGGACTTCAACTTTTTAAGACGTTTGGTGACCTGTCTTACGTTTCTAGAATTTTGTGTCATTACGTCGGATTTATGAACATTTTCGTAGTATAGTCATTTCTGATTATTTTTAATTTTCACCAGTTTGAGAGACGAGTTTCGACACTTCCCAAGTTTTGTGGTCGAATGTCAGATTAGTTGAAATTTGCACACTGAAAAGTATTAACGAAAGCCACGAGTGTCGATCTTGGCTCATGGTTGGTTGTGCTTCGGATGCATCCGACCCAGAGAATAAGGATACTGTTACGACAACCAAACACAAGAGCGTCAAGGGGGAAACAGGATGCTGGGGGATTTTACAACACCTTATCTGCAAGCTGCAGATGTTCTTGTGTCCTTGAGACGTGCTGTTGTCATAGCTGGGGGAGACGTTTAAGGTTTCTCGATTTTCATTACGGGTTTCGAAGTTCTGCCTCAACCTCCTATCTCGGCTTGCATTGTGCACGGTTCAACATGGGAACCGCTAGTGAACGTTTTTCGAATAAACTTCTTTTGAAGATTTCAAGTTCGGACACTTTGGTGACGAGTCTTACGTTTTTAGAGTTCCGTTAGGATGTCGGATTTATGAATGTTTTCATAGTATATGCTTTTTAAGAGAGACATCTCGACATTTTCAATTTTTTGTGTTAGAATGTCCGATTAGTTGAAATTTTCACGGAAACCTTTTGGTTGATTGTGGACGGTCCGACATAGCCTTGCCAAATCTTTGGTTAATGGAAACTTTTGACGTAATTGTTACAAATTCACAATATTGGGACCAGATAACTGTTATCAGTTTCTACGGCGTACTTCTCATTTGTCTCGACAATGGTTGTGTGGATGCTTATGTAGGCTGGGTGTCCCGCTTTGTTTTTAATTTTTCTTCGCTTTTCAATCTAGTTCTCATGAGTTGTCAATTGTCTTCAAAATCCAGTGAGATCTTTCAAAATAATTATAAGGTCCTTGGTCACTTCAACATCTGATAATCTGTACACAGTTTGATTCGGATGTATCCTACGCATTCGTTTGAGCCTTCTCTAATGTCCAATCCTCAGATGATAACGTCTCTACATAATATGTTCCCCACCACTTCACTCCGTACGATGCCCGTTTGTTTTGAGAAATGTTTGGTAAAGTGATAATTTACATGCAACCGCCATCTAGTTGAAATTTAAGACTGATGGTTACTAGAGTTCTTAAGGGATTCCCGAGGGTGCACTTTTGTTTGTTAACATACATCATTTGATCTCGGCAGGGACAGTGGCGGAGTGGTGGGCAGCATTGGGTAGGGATGTTACAAGTTCATGGTTGCGAGGTCTTACCCGGCAAGCGGCAAATGATAACATCTCTGCATAATGCTGCCCACCACTTCACTCTGTCCGATGCCCTTTTGTTTTAAGAAATGTCTGCTAAGCTATAATTGTTCTTAGAATGATAACATATTGGTTAATTTTCACTCGGAGGGTGATCCGGGCTATGTTCATAAGTTCATCCTTTGGTTAAGTGAACTTCAAGGATATTTAATGAATGACGCACGATTTATAACATAACGGATTTTCTCCATCCGAATAATGAAATATTTGATTCGGATATATCCTAGTTTTATTATAAAACTAGCCAACTTGTGTATTATGGATTATATCGAAACATGTCACTCGGATGTATCCTACTCATCCTGCTTGTATTCAATTAAACTTCAAAAATGAGCTATTTTTTTCACTCCCATGCACCCCTTAAAGCCTTAACGAAGACCTTTTTTGGGTCACTCATATACGTCCCTCACAAGGGGAAACCTTCGATATGCTACGTTCGTACTGACTGTCTGAATGTGTGCCAGTTTAGTTGAGGATTTATCCGTTGAACAAGGACTCTGATCCTTGTGTATTAATGTATAATCAACATCTTCTTTCGTCAGCCCTGTATACCTTCCGAGTTTCTCAAACGACAAAAGTACTATTTAGAAAATAATATACTATTTTAATGAATAACATGTTGCACCCGAGCTCGACACCCCCGCCCTTCAGAAGGGAAAAACACATCAAGTCACAGAAGCGGAAGCCAAACATCTCTGTAGTCCGGATCCCGGCGGACTTTTCCAACCCAGGGAGATGACCCAACCCTTGGACAAACGAAGGAAGAGAAAGCGGAAAATGAATATATGTAATCCAAGACGAATCCAACGAAAACAACAATTCAAGAACCACGAAATGTAGAAGACGCATGACCTATCTAATTACAGAACCCCGTTTAGCCATGAGAGAGACAGATAATACTTCCGCGCAAGCCCCGCTGGGAAACAAAAGGAGCAGTGCGTTCGACCTCGACACCCCCGCCCTTCAGAAGGGAAAACCTCAACAAGCCACAAACGCGGAGGCCAAACATTTATGAAGTCAGGATCCCGGTGGACTTTTCCCAATTGAGGCACAAAAAGAGTAACCGCATTATGCAGCAGCCTTGGCAATGCGGATCCCGGTGGACTAAAACCACCACTCATTCCGAAAAAGAAACACCACCCTTCCATCATGTGACGGGACGCTTCAACAAAAACACACATGTACTTCACACAGTGACCTGGCCCACTCACAGCATGGTCGTTCACATGTACTTGGAAGTTTGAAGGAGTGGTGGCTGAAGCATGCCGGCATCAAGAACTCCCCGCATCGACAGACACTGCGGTCACTAGCGCATAGACAGAGTGGCGTTTGTCACTGCTTACCAACTGGTTTGTCTCTCCGCTCCTTAATCGGCGAAGTTGGCACGGGCAAGGCCAACACATCGAGAGCTCGAGTGCCGGCGATAGTTTTTTTCAGGGATGTGACATCTTGTCGTCCCCCGATCTCGCCTTCTCCTCCGCTGGCGATGGTTGGCGGCAGCATCGGAGAGTTCGTCGGTGACAAAGCCACGAGAGATCCCCCGGAAGGTTTGACGTCGAGAGGGTCGTCGACACCAGGCATAGAGGACGGCTGCGCGGACATGTGGTGGTCGCCCAGGATGTCGTTGATAACTTCTTTGATGTCAATACGCACACTTGGTTTATTCAGGCTGACCGCAACACTAGCGTTGTTGACCCGTTGTTGGAGATCGACGGCAGATGTCATTGCTTCGACCTCATAGTCATCACGTTCTGCCGAAAGGCTTGTGACCACCTGTGTCTCCATACCCCGTGTCGTGTCATCGTCGTCGTCGTCTTCCTCACGATGTTCTCCGTACAGCTGCCCGAATCCGTCAGACGACTCTCCAGATCTGTTATCGTCATCGCCGAACGTCCGTTCGTCGTTTCCAGTATCGAGTTCATCTTTTTCCCCGTCATTCCCTCCTAGCAACGCAGCCAACTCCGTTTCTTCCCCTTCCTCTCCTTCCTCCCCTTCATCCTCTTCTTCCTCCCCTTCATCCCCTCCTTCCTCCAATTCCTCCCCTTGGTCTCCTTCCTCCCCTTCCTTCTCTTTGTCCATCACCCTGCCTTCTTCCCGTGCATGCAATCCAGCCACTTGGCCCGAACGCGTGTCGAATTCCGACGAATGCCCTTCCCGCTCGCCACACGCAGCCCCTCCCGCCGGCACGACAATCCCTCGTTGCCCCCCCTTTCCTGAAGAAGTTCAGATCCCGGCGAACTTCGCCGTCTCCCTGTCGCCGGGCCCTCCACACGTACCCTCTCGCTCCGACCGAAGCGGTTGGCGGTCCCCCGCAGGCGGCGCAGTCCCGTCCCTCACCGCACCGCTGTCCAGTTTGGGATCACGACCCGCCACCCCCGCTCCTGACAAGCTCTGCGCGTCCGTCCTCTTCGTCCGCTCGGCAAGCATTGAAGTTCGGATCCCGACGCACTTGAACGTTTCGACCGAGCCGACACGGAGAGCAACCAAGGCCGCCATCACCGAGCCGACGGATGAAGTGGGCGCGTCCGCTGACTGTGCCCAGCTTGCCGGACCGGGACCGGTAGACTGCTGACGCCCGAAGGCCTCGCCCACCACCCCGCCGCTGCCTTCCGCTGTCGTGGTGTCGCCGTGAGACCCGCCCTCCGAACCAGGCGGGACTCCTTTGCCGCCACCAGCCTCGTCGCCCTCATTCTCCCCACAATCTGGTCCCCGGGACCCTATACTTACATGCGTCCCACTGGGAGGGGGGATTTTCCTGTCCACCCTTCCCTTCGAGGGGCTCGTATCGAGGTCGTAGTAGTCCTCCGTCAGCTACAACCAGCACTTGTCCTCAAGTTCGACGAACAATCGCCCGGCTGTGGAAATGACGGACACGTCTCCGGGTGCGAAAGAGTCATTCTCGGCCCTCACTTTCTGGAGGACCGCAATTCTAGCGACGTTGAGGAAGTCAGACTTCGACCCGCGAGGGAGGGGCACCCATCCTCCGTCCGGGACAGCGACGACCACGATCCACTCACCCTTTTGAATCGCCGGCTGGATGACTCCTGGATGCCAAATCAAGTCATGGCCCCAGTTCGCCTCCGTGGAACGACTTTGAGGCTCAGGCAGAAAGTGAATGTTGGCATCCTTCCAAGACAGATGATCGGCCGGGATGTCAGACCCGAGACGCAGTGAGCGATGGCCGGAGGACAGAGCTTGCATTCTCTGCAGCAACTTCATCGGGGTCGTGCCAGGCGCCGCTTTCGCCATCGGTGACACGAGGGATGTCGGGATTGTTGACGGACCTGCGAAGGACGACCCTGTTGTGTGCTGCCCGGGATGCGGGTCGTACTGCAGGTCGAGGCTTTCGGTGTCGCTGCCCTCCTCGTTCGCGGTCACGTCGAACTCGATGCCGGTGGTCTCCTCGTCTTCCGTGGAGATGAAGGAGGAGTAACTGCCGAACGTCAACTCCTCCGACTCCACGAAGTACAGGGACTGCAACCTCTCGAGGAAGGTCTTTGCATTCATGCGGGAGGCGTCGTAGTAGTTGTCGAGCAGCGTGAACATGTGATCCTTGCGGCGCACGTACTCGGCGTCAGTGTCTCTCTTGGACCGCGTTTGCAGGAACAAGAAGTCGTATATCTTGTTCCGCTTCCTCAGACTCAACTTGAACCACATGTACGTCTTGTTGTTCCACGCGCGAGGGCGAGACTCGTTGACGAACATGAACTCACAAATGTGGGCACCCGAATTGACCTCGCTCTTGACGAGATCAATTGTAAATTGCAAGAGCTCGGAGTTCCCTTCCATTGCCATGACGTGCCATCCTGCCTTCACCAGTTCCCACACGGATCGCGCGTGTGGCTTCCCGAGGAAGCATACACCCTCCCCCTTCTTGGTGACAGACTCGAGAAGATTAACGAATTGTGCGGGGTTGCGTTCCATGTCCCCGTACACACTGCCCCAACGCGTAGGCGAGACATGCGACCAATCGCAAGGGTTGAACGGGATGTCGGACACATCCGTTTGCGTAACCTTCTGCGGCAGCCACACTGCAGCAGCGGCGGCAGGCGGCAGTTTCCCCTCGTAGACAACGGATGTGTTAGCACCAAATCGTCACCTTTGAAGAGTATGTAAATCCGGTCGTCTTCCATGTACAAATTATTCCCGACGGGGAAGCTTTTCTTCTGTTGACTCTTCCTCACCCACTTCCCTTCCAACATCTTCACGAAAGAAAGGTGGTTCATGCTGGCCAGACACGAGAGGTTTTGTTGCCGCGGGACGAAAACGACGAGCGTCCAATGCGACGGACACCACGTCTGAAGCTGGGAATCCGGAGTGTCGAACGCTTGCGGTTTCCACAACTTCAGGTCCACCGGTTCGTAGAGATCGAGGATGAACGTGTGACTCTTTGTGGCAACCACCGCCTCCTTCACCCCCGCACACCTTATGTTTGCCTCCAAGGGGTCGTTGCCGAATGGCACTATGGATGTCACGTCGCCCGTGTCTTTCCATTTTATGTGCACAATTCCTTCGGCAAGCGCGATCTCGCGACTCTTCAGTCTACTGCCAGTCAGAACGGAGGGGACCTTATTCCTCCAGTCGACGGACAACTTCTTGTGACCGGCCAACTTCTCCGTCGCCTCAATGGATTGGTCGTCGTCGCAGCCCATGTAAGGCGGGCAATCCTTGAACAACGAGGAGTCAGCGACGTATTTCCTGCTCCCGTCCCACAACTCTGCATCCAAACCATGACTCTCAAACTGTTTGAAAATTGCGGACCTTTTTTTCAGGAACGGGCACCTCTGGCTCCAATCCGCGTCCGGCCTCTTCTCGTGCTTGAACTGGTAGTAGTTTCATTGACGCACCAGCACCCGGTCGCACTTCACGAAATGAACCATGTCCTAGTCGCTCCGCTTCCCGAGCTTCGCCAACTTCGCGGAGCCGTCCTGGACCCAAACCACCTCGCAAGCGAGAACCTTCTTCAGGACGCGGCACGTCTTGTTGTCGGTCAGCGACTCCATCGCTTTCCAACAATGTGCGTTTGGCTCAGGCACTTGCACGAACCATTTGCCCTCCTCTTTCTCATTTTTGCCTTTCTTTGTCGGCGGGTCCACAGGGACGTTGTACACGACCTCTTTCCTGCCCGTCTTGTCATTCTAGACATAGGCAACCCCGGGCTTCACATTTTTTACCTTCTTCTTCCGCATGATCCACTTTGTGCCATCGTGGCCGAGCAATCTACCAGTCTCCCATTTATCGAAAAAGTTGACGGCCAATTTCCATACGTTCTCCCCTGCCATCGCCAACGGGAAATAGGAGCGAAGGGCAGTGCCTTGCTTCCTGATGGCGTCGTCGCCCTTCTGATCTGCCAGCGTCCACAAGTTATTGTGCAGCGTCATATTGAGCGCGACTTCACAGAATTCACGCCACTTTCGGACCTGAGCCTGTTTTCCGCTCGGGTTTCCCATAATAGGACGCGGGCACCGGTCGCGCTTCCACTGCCACCTAATGTCTTTCATTGACGGCTTCAGCTATCTCGAGGGCGCCTTCAGGTCCTTCTTGTTGTCTTGGGAACTGACAAGGAAGTACCCTTCAAAGTCGTCGTCCGAAAAGTAGAGCATTCGTGCAGGCCACCGCTCGAAATTGTATTTCCTGGCCGCCTCGCTGCCGCGCAGCGACCTCGCTGCAGCCGCGTTGTGCTGCCCACACACCACGTAGTAGTAGTATTGCCCCACCAGCTCATCCCTCCATTCCTCCGGCCTCAGATGTTCTGCCTTGGTCCCCGGAGTCGGTTTATCAAGCCCGAGCGGTGCCAGCTTTAGGGTAAGCAAATCGTAAGACTGCGCTTTGTTTTCGAACGCCAACCGCATCGCTTCTTTGATCCCTTCCACGAGCACGGGATCCAGGGACCCGCTGGTTGTACAGGTCCTCCCACTCTCCGAGGTCGACGACATGCGCAGGGCTAACCTCCAACTCCCTCTTTGTTCGAACGCCGTCTTTGTACTCGAGGAAGTACCCGGCGTCGACGTCGATTGTAGGCCTTTCCGTCGGTGGAGAAGACGTTCCAGACGGAAGCTGCTTCTGTCTCGAAGCCGATCGTTTGGCAACCTGCCGGCCCTCCTCCCCCTCAGTCCCCTTTCGTTTCTCTCCCGCAGTCCTGGGGGCCTTGCTCTTCAGCTTCTTCGAAGAACTGACGAACTCGTCTGTGCGTTCCCCCCTCCTCTTTTGCCGAGTGCCTTGCGTGCCCAGGCCGCCCGCGGTCACCTCATCCACACTCTGGCCCTCGCTCGCCGCCAAGTCGACCTCGGAAAAGGCTGCCACCTTTCCTGTAGGTTCCACGCTCTCCCGTCGAACCGGATCTCCAATGTCGACCCCTAGAATAGACAACACCGACCGCAGCCCGTCCCTGAACGGCGCTGCAGGCCCCTTCTCCTCGCTGTCGTCGAACTGTCCCCGGCTCTCGCCGCGGTGCAGCTGAGTAGCCGGACCAGAACCCAGATCACCGCCCTCCGCCGCCGCCCCGCTTGACTCGCAACCGCTGTACGGCCTGAACGGCAACGAGAGCTCCAGGGACGGGCCGACGTCGCAGGGGACGTCGAGAACGATGTTCTTGTCCTCCAGCTTGTCGAAAAACTCACGCGCCAAAACAAAACCACCCACGAGAACGAGTTCTCTGTAGAACGGGGTGTCCACAACACCCGCTTCGAACCCCTCACACAATTCGAGGTCCAACAACACCCCTTTCGAATTGGCAACGACGTTGCCTTTGGAGCCATAAACCTTTTCCATACGGAAATCTTGCCGGCCCCCCTTCGCGTCCTCCCACCCCAAGACGGCCCCAAGCACTCGACCCCTTCTGCCGTCATCGACGAAGATGACAGGACCACATGGCTGCGCAGTGGGGTTGGAAGCGTCTCCACAGCACCAGTCGATGAACCATTTCGACTTCGAATGGTTCGACAATCCTTTTGTGGCAGTAGACGACCTCCTCGTGGAATCTTTTCCGGATGTCTTCTCGGAGTTCCCCGTTGCCTCCACCTCGCCCTTTGAAGAAGACATCCTGTCTGCGAATGACAACCCAAATCGCACCACGCACCATGCAGTCAAGGTTTTGGAAAACACATTAGGAACAGAACAGTCGTCGGCACACGGCAACGCAGGCTCTTGCGCAGCGAAATCCGCACGCAAAGACACCCCGGAACCCAACTTAGGAACGGCTAGAATGGGTAGTTCGCAGGGATCCAAATTTCAATAGTGCACGAGTCGGAGAGGCAGAGTGCTGGGAATCAAGCACCGTTTATGCGGCAGACGGCGCACCAGAAGAACGAAGAAAGACCAACGCATAGGGAAAATCGAAAAGTTCGCCGGGATCCGAACTTCACGACTGCCGGTCATTTTCGAAGCTCGCGTTGGACGGTGCAGTGTCCTCCGCCCAGCACTCGGAACCCGGACAGACTAGCACGCGAAGTCCGCCCGGGTCCAGACTAAAAGACGGTGCGAAAGAAAGAGAGAAACAGCCAGCCCATGCAGTCGGCGTTCCAGAACTGTTCTCAGGCGAACACACTCCGCAAATGCATTTGATCAAAACCAGAAGTCGGAGACGGACTCTCCCCATCGCCGGGCGGGTTGTGCGAACCAAAGGACGGGCATGTCCGAAGACAAACCAATGCACGTCACGAATCGTGAAGTTCGTCGGGATCTAAACTTAAGGACGATACGACAGGCAGAGACGGCGTTAGAGACACACGATCCGTGGACTCAAAGAAAAACACGACCTGGGAATGGCACACAAACATGAGAGGCCTGTTGAGAAGGATTAGTAGTTCGCCGAAATCCGAACTTCTTCTGATATGCGCAACAGCCTTGACAACATTGTGTGGGTCCCTGGCGGGGCAGAACGGAATGTGTGGAGCAGCGCGGACAGGAGATGTTGTCGCATTCCCCGGGGGATCAGGAAGACCAGTGTGTGTCCAATAGACAGGCGTCACAAGAAGTTCGTCGGATCCGAACTTAAGGACGCTTCGAGAAAGACACACAGAGAGAAATACTGGATCACGTATGATGTCAGACGCAAGACGGGGTCTGAGCAAGGTGTTGGAGGGAGAACTTCAGAATTGTACTGCCTGCGTCGAACTCTGCAACTGGGATCCCTAAGAGTGCTTTTGGCATTTCGCAACGACAATGATCGACTGTTAGGCACATGTCGATGGTGGACGGGCGGCAACCGAACGCGGACAGGGAACACTGCACTCCGGTTGGCGGCGGTGTCAGATCGCGAACGTGCCCAGGCGGAACTAGTCCCAAATCTTTTACGAACCCCGCGCCCAGCCGAATTTAGGTCCCTGGCAAACAGTTGTAGCTTGAAGGCCGGTCAGACGGGCCTGCGACCTCATGCAAGACCCTGCCCGTGGGCCCCGCTGGTTCGTGCGGCCCGCCCGACGCCAACAGCACCAAAGCCAAATCAACGCACACCCCAAAACGCGAAGTTCGCCGGGATCCGAACTCGCCAGGGCACGACAGTGAAGGAGACGGCGTCAGAGACAGACCTCTCGTTCAGATGTGTCGACATTCGGAGTTCCCCTGGGACGATGTAGTGAACTGAAGCCATACAAAGCATTCATTGATGATCCATATACGTGGATCTGCGGTTCGTCTACCAATGCCCTCTCAGAATTCCCTATGCAGTCCCGTACATCGCACACTTTCTCCTTGACCTCACGATGCATCGAAAAGTTTCGGACCGGCCCTACTATAACCAAATCACGCCACCCATCTACACGTTCAGGCCCGAGCGTCTCCACGAATTTGGACCCCTCAATCACTACCTAGTTGCGTGACACAAGCACAACTGCATCGACGAGTTTCCTGCTCTTGTTCGAAGCAACGACACACAGAACTCTAGCGAAATCAGACTCGGACACAGTCAATCGCACACAACAGTATGACACAGCTTGTGGAGAATTCCCGGGGCAGCGGAGCGGGTATTGCTCTGGGAATGAGCAGTGGCGAGCGCAGTCCAACTCTTGTTTCCGGGGGCATCCCCAAGGTAAGTGGCACTCAAGGCGGCTGAAATGGCGGCTAATGCAGCCCAGCATGTGGTTTAGGAACTTGTGTCCGAGGACAGCGTCAGACACCGGGATGAGGTTCCCGAACTCCAACATGTTGGCGAACTTGTACAGGCTTGCCCAAGGACAGCGACTCTCCATCGTGGCCCAATTTCAATCGCACCAGCTGTCAACATGCCCCTCCAGGCACGGGACGACGGTCATCCAGGGGTCCTCGTCGAAGTCCTTTGTGGTCGCTCTGTGGATCGTAGTTACACCGTTAAAATACCGCACGGATCGCGCACAAGGAGGAAACGGTTCTGCGAAGCGAATGTGCATCTTGGGAGTCATGGTCTGTGGTGTCGAGAAGATCGGCTCCACGATTCGTGGTGTCGAGAAGGTCGCCTCCATTACGCACCCTACACAACACGCGCACATGCTAAACGACACACACGGGCACGGAGACACTCGTAAACACGTCGTGTTTCGCGATCTGCGACCCTTGGCATCAGACGGAACGCGCGCTCGAAGATCCGATTTCGGGGGGTCGACCTGGTCGGTGTTCACATCTGCCGGCCGGCCGGCCACCCGCAGTCATGTCCCACGAGAGGTGGGCACCTCATGTTCGTCGTGATCAGAATTTGGCGAGACTGCGCAGGAGAAACAAAGTTGTCTCTCAAACTCGGCGTCCCAAAAGTTCTTGAAGTTCGCATCCTGGCGGACTTCACATTTTTAAGCATCCGAAGTTGTGGTTATCCATCGGCCGTCAGAAAACCCCACAGTCAGAGCCCACACCACCAGAAAATTGAAGTACGCCTGGGTCCGAACTTGACAACCACACGAGGAACCTTGCACGAGAAGTTCGGATCCCAGCGAACTTCGCATTCTCTTGAATCCGAAGTTCGTCGGGATTCGAAATTGACGACTGTCCGAGGAACCGTGCACGACAGTTTTAGATGCACGGCCCGGCAGGCCGGCCGCAAACACGAATTGCGAAAGGAGGAAATCTCAAGTTCGTCGGGATCCGAACTTGGCGAAATCGCGCGGGAGAGACACATCTGGCGAACTCGACGATGGGACGAGGAACCGTGCGCGAGAAGTTCGGATCCTGTCGGACTTCACATTTCTGCAAAACAAAAGTTGTGGCAAACCACCAGGCGCGAGAAAGCCCACAGACAGAACTCACACCATGCGGGAAGCGAAGTTCGCCAGGGTCCGAACTTGACGAGTGTACGAGGAACCGTTCACGAGAAATTCAAATCCCGATGAACTTTGCGTTTTCACGAATCCAAAGTCCGCTGGGATCCGAACTTGGCAAACGTGCGAGGAACCGGGCACGCGAGGTTCGGATCCACCGGAGGGCAAGCGAGCCGCAAAAATCTCAGGCGAAAGGCGGGAACCTGTTGTTCGCCGAGATCCGAACTTGGCGAAACCGCGCGGGAGAGAAACAACTGGCGAACTCGGCGACTGAACGAGGAGCCGTGCCCGAGAAGTTCGGATCCCGGTGGACTTCACATTTTTCGAATCCGTAGTTGTGCCAATCCCTCATGCGCTGGTAAGTCCATAATCGGAACCCACACAATGCGGAAAGCGAAGTTCGCCAGGGTCCGAACTTGACGTCCGTGCGAGGAACCGTGAAGGACAAGTCCGGATCCCGGCGGACTGAGCATTTTCAC